AAAATTTCCAGAAAAAAGGGGAATGTTTTTCTTCATTAAAATTGTTTATTTCATAGAATATCGCTTTATGTAATTATACATTTTAGACAGTTGTTAATTGAGATGTCAGGGATAACACGATTACCACAAACTTTTATTTTTAATTTAAAAATTGTTTAGTTTAATTAATTTAAAAAAATTAATCTAATTTTTAATTTAAGCATTGTTTAGGTTTTTAATCTGGTAAAACTAAACTTTTTGTCATTTAGATTTTCGAATATTTTAGTTTACCTAGTTCTTAGTTAATCAAGAAATTGGACCATTCACCCACTTTTGCAGTTAACTAATAACACGTTTTATGGTTTCCTTAGATAAGAGATCCAGTTTTTTCCCGTAGACGATCAGTAAGCCGCCGTATAATCATTTGGCGCCTTGACCGGAAGTTTTCTAGTATACATATTTTCAGGATGAGACTATAATTTAATCTTTTAAGTTTTGCTATAATATTTCCGTTAATAAGCAACCATTTTCTCAGAGGTGCTCGTTTATCCGTCACCCCGCAATAATACCAACGATTGTATAAATTTATTAAAAGTTGATTCCGTCCGCGATTGACCGTCCACAAATTGGGCCCGAGGGATTCACTTTTGTGTGCCAATTCTCTTGTGATGTAACAAATATTTCATAACGGACGACTTATTTTGGGCTTTTAGTGTTATTAAAAATGTCACAGAACTGGATATTTCACTAAACTGGCCTCTACGATTTCAATCATCATCCTAATTAGAGGAAACGTCGCTCACGAGATCTTAACAGACAGCTTATCTATCATTATACGCACTCGTAAAAACCTGTAGGCGTTTTTTTTTTCTCCAAAAGGAATTTTTATATAAAAAGGTAGTACAAAATTGCTCATTTTTTATGTACGTTCGAAATGGTAACAATTGATTGCGAAAATTGAGAAAATCAAAACATTTTGACGATAAGGCACTCTCAACACGACACACAAGAATGACACAATTACGCAGAAAACAAACACTTTTGAACCCTGAAGATGATCTCAATAAAGATCTAAACGTTGGCACGATAAAGAAAATGTTTTTCAAAACCTACCGCATTTCACGATCTTCAAATAATCATTAACTAAGGGCCACCAAACACCATACATTTTGAAGACTATATTGTTTATATATGAATGTGGACAAGCGTGTGGTTTCTGAAATATTTTCATTATGGATATTCCATTTCAATATATTACAACCAGCAGATAATGAGACGATTTAATCAAGACCTCATTATTTTTTTTTATTGCTGCTGATAATTTTCTGCTCTTTAAGCCATTTTTTATATGTACGTGTGAAGAATTGTTCAGACATTTTGGTCTGTTGGATTTTTCTCTCGTTTGTTTTTAAATGCCGTCTAGTTTGTAATTTCTGCTAGGGGGCTAGGGCAGTAGGCTAGGGGAGGTGACCGATGAAATTTTTCAATTCTAAATTGGCAGAGGGCACTTTAAGACGAACCAGCGATATCGCTGCTAAGAACAGTTTATGCGTGGGCAATAAGGGACTTTGAAAATTAGGGAGTGGACCGTTTTGCTGAAAAGGGCTCTGAAATCCCGTTTATTGGCCCGCAATCTGAAATCCCTTGAGCTCTGCTGTGTAAAATTGAAGGCTGTGGTGAAAACTAGTCCCGAAGAAATCGGAATTTACTACCTCCTGCAGGTCGTTGTAAGATTTTTATTTGGGCAATCAGACCTAAGTAGGCCAGATGCATCTCTACCAGATCAGGGGGAAATGAAAATGGTACAAACGATGGCGTTATCCATGTCAGAATTATATTTAAACTTCTGTTAGACAGGTGGGATATATAAAAGGAGGTATGAAATATCAGTAATTATTTTAACCAAATTCTTAAGAAACGGACCTGCAGAGTATGCCATCACACATTAATATTTTCTCATGTTGTTCTTTGACTCTACCTTAGCTAAGTTTTTCAATAAATGTGTATGTCAACTAGCCTGTCGTTATCTCTTATTGTAAGTAGTAATTATTGACGAAGGAATGGGGAAGGATGCGTTTTTTTCTTTGGATAACTATGGAGGGTTATCAACATAGTTGACGTCACATGACCCCGGGGTTTGACCTTGCTCCGACCTTAATAAGGAGAGCAACTCCGATAAGGGAGGCTCTAGGCTTGTTTGTCCGCTCGAAAGTGAAAGGGAGGGTAGTCCCGAATTAGACAAACGACTGGGCAAACCCTGGCTTTTCGCCTTTGGGAAAATTCCTACTGTAGTTTCTACCCGTCGGCGTTTTTCATCGGGCAAGCTACGAATTTTCACTAATCAACTGAAGCAATCGAACTGAGTTTCTCCACTATATGTGGACAACTTCTAAATCCACTTGCCCAATTTACAGTAACATGACTAATCTTTTTCATTAACATGGTATTCAAACTACCAACTAAATTACCTACACTATAAAATAAATCTTTCTCTGAAATCTATTTGTTAAAAAAGTCAAACAAAAGTTTAAACACAACCAAGTTCCTTCAGATAATTTCACACTATTTGAACAGTGGGCATGTCTTCATTCATTACTTAAATTACCACAAAAAGAATTATCGAATAGTGGAATAGCAAGAACGTATAAAGTCGCTTTATGAACTAATACCTCAGAAAAGTTGGTTTGATATGGAAAACCCTATGCAAAAATAATGGAGGTTTTTAATTTTTTTTTAATAAAGAAAATTTATTAAAAATATTTGCCATCACAATCTATGTATCTTTGCCGACGTGCAATAAGCGCTTTTGTTCTGCTGGCATTAAACTCTTTGTTTTGACCCACAATAAAGTCATGGAAGGCGTTTTCGGTTTCGCTGCATCCTCTAAAAATTTTATCCCTCAGGAAGTGTTTAAAATGCTTAAAAAAGTGAAATCTGTAGGCGTCAGGTCGAGTAATGGAGGGTGCGTTAAGTTTCTTATCCTAAGTAGTTAAGTTTCCGCAGGGTCGGCATTACGTGTGGCCTGGCATTATCTTGAAGAAGTATCGGTCCCTTATAGTTAACTAACGCTGGACAAAGAAGTTACAGTTTTCCGTGCAGTTTGTCAATTTCTAGGCAATATTTCTTTGCTAAAACACCAACGAACAGTCACTATAACCTTTTTTGAGAGCAGATCCTTGTCCAACCACTGACCTGTGTGCCTCCTGTTATCGTACAGAATCAATTTCTCAGCGCACATGATATTCGATGGAGAAATGGATCATCGCGCAAAACTTATCAAGCTTCTTTACTTTACCAATTTGCTCCAGATGGCGAACAACGGTTGAGTGGCGCCAGCTCTTCCGCAATTTTCCGTATTGTACGCAGTTTTTTTCTGTGAACATTTTGAGTTGGTCGCCGTCCACACGGAAGGTCTACCGCAACCTTCCCTGTCTTCGAGATCGAAATCCTCAAGACGAAATCTCTGGAACCATCGCTGCACCGTTCATTCGCTAATGCTTCCCTCCCCCCAAACTGTATTGATGTTATACGCGGTTTGGGCCGCAATTCGACCAAGTTTAAATTCGTACAAATAAATTTGACGAAAATCTAGTTTGGACATAAAGCATCTGATGCCAAGAACACACTCACACACACACACACCCCTCAATCAGCTTTGATCAAAATTTGCACAGAAATTCACAAGTATCTACAAAAAATTAAATACGATGTAGAATATGTAAATCATTTGTAAAAGTATAAAGGTTTATTTGGCCAAGGCTAACAATCTTCTATTGTTCTGTTCAGAATTATTCTGCAGTAGATCTAAAAATATCGAAAACGGGCAATCTATCTGTCTACGTGCGCTGGTCGGTGCAATAAACTAATTGAAATATCGACAAGTAAAATGGTAATAATTTACAATTAAGTACTCACCAACGTCATTAAAAACCATCGCGCGTTAATGGCGTGAACACTATCTAATCACCTTATTAAATTTACAGAAACATCAACCAAAAGGCACTCAAGTTATTATATTTTTCCACCAAAACTCATGGTTCAAGTTTTAAGATTGACCGTAAAAATATTACTTGAATTTGAATACAATTTCTGTTCAAAGTTTGAGATGAATTGTTAAAACATAGTTTTTGATAAGACCTAGCTAATTGTGTGATGACAGAAAACGTGGATTAATTTTTATCTGTATTTTCTATTTAGAACTAACTTTCTGCTTATAAACAAACTGAGTACAATGCAATTTAAAACATGTCACAGAATTTGTTGATACAATTTATGTGTTGACAAACGCTTAAACACTATACGATTAGTTTAACCATAATTTCATATTTCTACAGTACCTTTAGTACTTATCTTACCATTAATTGCAATTAATAAAGTAGGTTATGGTGATTAAACTGACTATTTCTTTTTTTATTTTAACGCAATTGGTATTAGTACTGTTAGGTTAATTACATCTGTTATTTACGTTGGTACAATCCTTGTGGATTAATGCAGTTTTTATATAAATCAATATTATTATGCTTCATTTCAATTACCCAACTGTTTTGCCTATCTTTTGACTAGTATTTGTAATTCGTCGTCCCTTTGGTTGCTAGGCAAAATCTCTAAAAAGAATCTTTTCAAAAAATATAACATTTTAGAAAAAATGCTATGGCTATATGACGCCATTTCGGGATTTATGCAGGGAGAGGCAAGACGGAGCCGTTGTTCATAATTTCGAATTAAAACTAATGTACCATTAACCCACCTTAAATTTAATTCGACGCAAAATCACCTAGTGTCCTTAAATTGCCGAATTTTATAACAATGTGTCTTTGTGAAAGAAGGCAATCCGGCCTTAAAGCACGGCCAGGAAAGCCCATTATGCTTTACTAGCAAACCAACATACTAGAGAATTTTCTTGTTTTGAATACTTGTAGGAGGATGATTAACCAGCCATCTTGAACTAGATTATTATATTCTTTCTTGTTTTATGTTTCACACATGTGTAATACTGAATTAATTTAAATTTTGTTTCGTAGCCCTGATTTTCGGCCGAGGGCCTCCTCGAACGCATCCTCATGCGGTCGGCTGTCGCCGATCCCGGCGGCTGACACCGACTGGGGCTACTACAGCCCAGAACAGCTGGCTGGAAACCTGGAACAGACCATGAGGCTGGGACAGCAGCAGCAGCAGCAGGCGGCAGGGAACGGCGCCACTCCGACACCGCAAGATATACCGTCGAGTGGTTTCGCCTATCCACCTCCACCGCCCTATCGTCCTGCACCACCTTACATGGCACCTTGTCCAGTGCACAGGCAGCATTTACCTTGTCCGTCATGTGCCGTCGCACCTAAACAGGTAAAACTTTCAATTTATTTTATATTTTGATTTTAACATTGAATAAACACAACCTGTAATTATTTAATGATTTTCCCTGTAAATACATTTTGCGTTTATGTTTTGACGCGGCTGTCTCCCAACGGAGCATTCTTAGTCCCACCTTGTATTTAATTTACACTGCTGGCTTACCTACCGAAGTCGTTACAACAACACCAGATGGGGCTGGTTTCACCATCTGTGAGACTGATCGCACAATCGACGGTTTTTTCCACCAGTATAAGAGTTCAGCTTGTGCTTCGGAGAGTGCACCACTCTCTCTGGGCTGCACATATGCGCCTGGAAACGTTCCCTGTATCCAAGGGTTAGGAGGGGTATTTCAGGAGTATTTTAGGAGGCAAAAGATTGAGAAAAGTATTGTCCGCGAATATGAAGTTAATCTTTTCAGATTGCGCCCCCACATCGAGAGTTATATGTACCACTCAATATCTCCGTGATCCCCAAATTGAAAAGGGGTACGGATCCTCTGAGTGGATAAGGAGAGTCCCGTTCATGCGTCGAACCTATCGACAGCCTATCCCTATATAATCCCCCTTGAGGAATAATTCCGAGAACGTGAGCTCACCTTTTCAGGTTGAGCAACATATCCCGGATCAAGCCTGTTTACACTCAGGTACCCTTCTCCAAATTGAATATTCAAGGAAAAGGTTATCTGCCTCCCCCTTGTTGTAATTCGGGAAACATAATTCGGATAGGCCCGGCGGTTTGCGAATTAACCTCTTCGGCTTGCGCACACTCCTCGCCATAAATCCACCCGTCCCGGTCCATATTTGCTACTTTTACGGTAAACAGGTGCGATGCCAGTTTTAATACGGTATCCGATGGGATCCTACAAGAGCCGCCACAGGAAGGCAGAGGTCGCATAAGAACGGGAGAGGTTATTCACCGACTGATATGCACCATTAATGGGACGCGCTAGGCGTAGTCTTCGCATTCTCCCTTGCTTTGTCCGATTCACTATATGCCTGCGAGGTGCTCGAATATACTCGGTTTGTAAGCCCACCTTCTTAGGACTGGTACTGCAGACTTCTTTCGTCAATAGGTCTGTTACCTCTTCCTGCTGTACCATTTCCACCTTTCGATCATCCCAATCCTGCTGTTGAAGACATGCCCAAACAATCCCGAGAAAGACCATACCCTCGAAACTTGCCCTTTAATCCCCTACATGATTGCCAGTGTTGTCTGGATTCTCACTAGTCCCCTTCAGGTACAATCTGACCATAGTGTAGTGCTGTGACCGCGTAAAAACAGTGCGAACACATTTGTAATATGTTCAAATGTACAGTTTACGAATAAACTATTGTAATAATGAAAAAAGGAAACATTTTGATGGAACTTAAATTTGGTTAGTGGTTCATTCAGTTTTTTCTTAAATTTATTACTTTGCACTTATTTGTCAAGTTGCTTAATTACTCTTCCCATGTATAGAAGTCCTTGTCAACTGTTTCGTAACGCAATCTTTTAAAATAACCGAAAACCTCCATGCGTTGTAGTACAGAACCTCGAAATTAAGACAGACCTGTTGAAAGACAATTCAAGTTGTAAACTGTATGAATATTTAACAAGGGAGAACAAAGAGGACCTGTAACTTCACCTTATTTAGTTTCATAATGCGACGATCAATGGATCTTTTGGGAACCTTTAGAAATTGAATATTCAATAATTTTGAAGAAATCGATACTTATCCCCCGAGGGTTAATAAAATAATCGTTCGTTTTGCTTTTTGTTAACCACAGGCTCGTTAGGATTATCCTTGCTAAAGGGAACAAACTATTTTTGAAGCCACAGCTCAATGTGGTTCACAGTATTACATAAATTGAGTGGTAAAAGCTAATAGCGTAAACAAACCTTTAGCCGAGATTTATTAAGGAAGGACAAATTTATAACGTTCAAATAAAAAAAATAAAAAATCCGTGTTGAGATAATTAATAGGAATCGCGATCAGATATGATTAGAAAATATGTGCCTCACCGGTCGGTAACCACTCAAGGCCGTGTAAGTTTCCGTTTCTTTCTAGTATTTTACCGTGTTTGCCAACGGGTTTTTATACCAAATGCCACACCGTTCTTGTGGCCGCGGAGGAAAAACTGAATTTACGATTTCCGAGAATTCAGAATTTTCCAAAGTAGCCGGTTTTTCTTTACAGGCCAAAGAAATTTCGATTTATTTCAAAACCATGAATCTTTTTGCTACCAAGAACGCATCCACCTCATTACAACATTGTATTATATTTTATGTTTTCCTAATGTAAATTGAAAATATAGTTTTACGCGTAAGTTTTTTCTCTAGACATTAAATAAAATCAGATATAATTTATTAGATTATCTATGAAAACACTAAAATCCGTTAGGGGATTACCAAGTTGTCCGTTTAATCATTCCCGATCATCCTGGTCTGCTCATTCTCGCTATATATTTTAGTGTACCAACACATCTTCGGTGAGTGTCTGCGTGCCGTCCCTCACTCTCGTCATTCTTTAAAGTCGAGCGAAATGCAGTGAGTTGGGCACTCCACATATTTTACTAAAACTAGCGATCGTTGCTCATTTTATGTCAAATATTTGTGATGTAAATTAAGGTTAGACGCGGTTGATAATCAAAATGTTAATATACATTGGGCAATGTAAAGTTGTCAACCTTTTGATCGTTTCTGATTATCCTGGACCGCACGTTCTCGCTCAATTTTTAGTCAGATGTGTTTAAACATAGTCAGTGGATGTCTGGGAGTCTTCCGTCACGCTCGTCTTTCTTAAAAGTCTCAGTGAAAATAAAATAAATGTCCTCATCATTTACTAAAACTAGCAATTGTTAGTCATTTTATGGCAAATATTTGTGTTGGAGATGTAGGATGAGTGGGCAGCGTTTTTCAGACGAACGAGTTTTTCTTATTTTATTTTTTAAGATTTTATGCAAGATGGATTTTAATTTTTGATACGTATTTATTTTTCAGAAGAGTCTGTACGTTCTGATTAAGCATCAAACTCGACAACTTTACCGCTTTATTTTTCAGTAATTTTTCATTTCAGTTATTTATATAGATGCCGGAAAGATGCTCACGTTTCGATACCATTTTCTCAAAATCTATTTAGTCAATTACAATCAATATTTTTTATTTAATTTCTTTTATTATCTTACTAATTTGACCTTAGGATTTTGAAAAATAGTGAAGGAAGTCGTGGCAAAATTTGACACAGCATTTTCTATTTTTTCCCTCTTTTTTTAAACAATTACTCACTACAATTGGTTGCCCATTATTTCTCTATAAAATGAAACAAAAATCGATTCAGTATAATAAAGGGATTTTGAGAAAAGTGCACTGAAAGGAGAAAAAATACAACTTTACAGGGGAAGCGATTTTATGATAAGAGCTCGAATTTTTCCGGTTACATAAAAACCTTACACACTGTTTTTTCTTGCAGAGTTAATATACGATTTTTTAGTCGTAAAATTAGTTTTTGACCCAGAGACAAACGATGAGAGTTTTTAACAGGAAGGAAGACGATTTGTAAGTTAATCGAGGCAGGATATACCAGAACTTGATTCGCAACTTTCAAAAATCATTTGAATCTCGGAATAGGGCCCGGTTCATTGCAAAAAAGGTTGTAGTTTAATATAAAGCATTATTTAAAAAAATGCACTTTTCAGTCCGAAAAGTGGTTGATTTTCCTGCATCAACACGTCTTACCTGCAAAAATAATCTATTTTAAAGAGACTTCTCCCAATTCTTTATATTTTCAAATTTACTTTTCTATTTAAATTGCTGTCATGGCTAAAAATCCCGAATAATTGAAAAACAAGTTGATTAGAGTGAAAGATGCATGAATGCCCTTTAGGGTCAGAAATAAGCGAACTCAGATTACGCTGATAGAAATATGTCTATTTTTAATTTTTACAGCAGATTTTTTTCAGATTAGTTAAAATTCGATAAATATTGTCCAAAGTTGATATTTTATTATTTAAATATCTGATTTTAACAGTAAACAAATATCCAAACATTGAGCAAGTGAACGTGACAAAACAGTGAAACACAAATGACCAACAAATAATTAACAAATTTCTGACAATCTTAACAAAAACCTATGAATAAAAGTTTACACATTCTTGTAATTTGGTTTGAAAGCTGAGACGATAAAAGAGAAGATTTCTACATCTGATGCAATATTTTTTTCTACAATCGATAAAACTTGTTTTTTGTCAATGTTGTTAATTAATATAAATTTGAAATGATTTTGTTTCAGAGAATGGGCTATGGGGAAGGTGAAAGCGCAACGACTATGATGGGTCAGCTGATGGGTGCCCTGAATCCGACAATGTTGGACGACCTGAACCTGAACATCGAGACGGTGCCGATACACGGCGGCTTCGACTGCAACGTCGACGAAGTGATAAAGCATGAACTTTCCCTCGACGGAACTTTGGACTTTAACTTCTCCGGCCAGCAGGCGCCCCCTAACCCCGATCAACCGCCCTTCTCAGGACACTCGTGGGTACACTAGTGGTAAACAATTACAACAATACTAATCGTAGCTCTTAGTTTCCATCGCTGCATATTAATACGAATTGTTAAAAACGCTTGCCTCAGCTTTCCCTCTGACTACGGCTATCATTGTGATATAGACATGGGATAAATAAGTGATCTGACAAAGAAAGTCGATTCTGGATAAAAGAAGAACGTCCTTTATTAAACACTACCATGGATATAATAAAAAAAAATTATTGTATATAATGATCGTCTACACTGAAGAAGGCGTGAAGCCAAAACACGTATTGTATTAGTGCTACCAGCGAGCATATACGGATCCACAGTGGGATCAATTTTCTTCCAATCCCAGATCAATGCGACCAACTTTAACCAAAATTAAACTGACAAAAGTAATATTAATATTATTTTTAAATTTTGAGATTTGTATAACAATTAATGATTAATTATCATAAAGTGATTTCTCATATGTTGCATCTATTAAAAATTTAGAAAATCGAAATGCTACTAAAGGGTTCGCTATTTACTATTACTTAATCGGCAATTTATTTTTTTAAATATCTATTTTAAATAAAGGTTTTCTATAGTTACTCGAAAGTCATATTTTTTTAGATCTTAGTTTTATTGTGATTTTTGCTAGTGTATAAAGTGTTTGATATGATATCCTTGGCTTTAACTTTCTCAGATTTGAGGTGTTGATTGTTTGGCAATTTTTGGCAATTTAAATTGCATCTTCTTCCTTACTTTTTTTTTAAAGAAGAAAGGTCTTTTAAAAATTCCTATACCCTTATTTATGACCATTATGTTTATTATCGTGTAAACTTAGACAATTGTTGAAAAAAAACCAGAAATACAAATACATATAAGAGAATCAGTTTTAACTTTATTTAAGTGTAATATATATTATTTATTTGAGCTTACACGTTTATATCAAAAGATTTTTTTTTGCTTTTGTTCCCATAAATTTATTATTCTATAAAAATATTCGAGTATAAGAGACTTTTCTCTCTCGTAATATCAGAGTTGATTTTAATTTTCGTTAAATATTGGGTCTATGAGAAATAAATGGATTTTGTATGGTTCTGATCTTAATTAAAAAATTAATTTTAACCTATCTTCGATCTACGATATTAATTATGTCGAGAATTGATAAGATTCGGATGGGAAAGCTCTTCGACCCCAAAATTTACTATAGCAAAAACCGATTTAGTTTTTCTATTCTTTATTAAACTACGTTCAATTATGCTGTGATAATTTTTGTTTTTAAGGCAAAAAAGGCATTTTTTGCACGATTACAAGTTTTATAGATTTTATCTTTGTCCCAGAAGGTCTTTTTGATTGCCACCATGATTTTTGGTTAAAAACAAATTTCTAAATCAAAACTATTTTAACGAGAATAAAAGATTTCTTTGTCCATTGTCATGCTTGTGATAATTTTCTTGAGATATTACGTTTAGTTCCCCCCACCAAATAAATGTAATAAAAATTAAAACCTTTTATACAATACTTCTCATTGTCTTGTTGATGGAACAGTCAATAATGAAATTCGCTGTAATTCTACCATGCTACAGACAGTTTTGTCATTGTCAAAAAATACTTTTACATTTGAACAGCAAATTTCTTTCACATTAAATCATGTTCTCAAAACGTTTTTGTTTAAGTTGAGTAAGCTTTTCAGCCTCCATGACGGATATTTAACTTATGACTAGACGTTCCTTCCTTCAGTACCTTGTGGTAGAAATGATTTTCCTTCTATTACATATTATGAAGTAAGTGATGTCTTTTTAGAAATAAGCAGGAAAAATTCAAACTTTCTATATATGATTCAATATATTTTATTGATGGAATAAACGGCTATATAGGCCTTTGTAAAGGTTTAGGGATTTTATTTTAATTTTTATAGTTTCCTTTTATCATCAAATTGAGTGTTAGGGTTAAGGGGTAGTGTATACATTGTGAATAACCCCTGGACATTTAGGTTTTGCCGGTCTTCCACCCCACATAACCGTGGCGCCGTATAGCAGGTGATGACGTAAAAAAGGTGCCCTAACGACCTGGCGAAAAAGTATCCCCCACAAAGGACGACAAAGTGGGAAAATCCGTTAAATTTGCAAGTCAGGCTTTCGTGGCTATTCATAATAATTTGGGTTATGTCTGCTGTAAACCCTAGATCGCCGAGATATTAAAACAATACTAACTTCAAAAGGGGCTCCCCGGCGTCATTTTTTTCCCCTATTTGCATTGTATAATTAAAATACCATAGCCTAAATCCTGTCCTTGTAATTATGCATGGAATAATTTTTTGTTATATTGGCACCAAGTGACAGGACGTCACTCTCGTCAAACATTATACAAAATCGTTCCCGGGTCGGAGATAAAGAGCAAACGGGGTGAAAACCGTCTGTCTGAAAGGGGTGGTTGAAGGGAACTTCTTTCGAATTATACACTCGTATTTTTGTTCATTGAGGAAAGAATCGTTTGAATTCGTCGTTTCATTTTCATTCGAAGACATAAAAATGTACGGTATAACAATAAAAAAAGGAGGTAACATATAAATCCACGGAGGTGTGCGATGTTCATGGAAAGGAACGTCAATTAGGAAAGTCAGTAATGATTGATACAACTGTTCTCATGTGAACAGATCCCTCAAGGCAATTTGTTCGTTTTTAACGAGCTTGTCTGAATACGAACCCACAGTTATTCAACTAACTTATTATACGCCGGTCCAGATATCCTTTTTTTTTTTTTTTTTTTTTTTTTTTTTTTTTTTTTTTTTTTACAATTGTCACTTCTTAAAAGTACATTATTAACAACGAGGACGTTTTGAGAATATCTAATTTCTTTCTAAGCTGACAACAATCTTTGGATTAAATCGAATCGGAACTACTTTTATATGCCGATCTATTTTTATTTTTAAATAAATAATTAAAAACGTTGCTATTCTATACTAATGGACAATGGCTGCTGAAAGACGTATCAACAAACCAACATCTTGATTGAGTACTGATTTATACAAACTCAGCGCTGCACATATGTACATACATTCACACGTCTACAGAATCGGACTTATGACTCGTGGCAGACACTTTTTCAACGTAAACCAATTCATTCTCATATTCCCTTCTACTTACATACATACCATTTACTTATTTTACATGGTGTAGAACTTGTATTCCTGCGTCAACCTAAACGTCAATCTACATCTAACTACGTCTATATAAGTGCAGGTTCTTGCAACTAAGACAAGAAAAACCGCAAGCAAGGTGCTTCACTAAGGAGCCGCTGGCAAAGCTATGAGGCTGATTAACAATCTGAAGCTGGCCAGTGAGTAACAGCAATAACAATAGATCTATTCAGGTCCAGGTGCAGAAAGCCTCTTTTGGCCCCCTATCCCCTGTCCCTACATACTATTTAATGTAGATGGTGTAGTACTTCCTGCATCAACCTTTATACTTACTATCTATATCTAACTAATTTAACTGAGAGTCTGGGGTACTCGACATTCCGCCGTAGGTCGTCTCACACTACACATCCCACTATAAATACATTCACTCTCAATACAAAAAAGAAACACAAGACGAGATATCTGCCAAGTACTTTATATAATAAAACAGCCGTTTCCGATATATCAGAAATCGGACCAAATATTCGCTGCCGATTAACCACAATTTAAATACTGGGTGGCATTCCTACTCGCTCTCTATATGGAGTCAAGGAATGAGATCCTTCAATTATGTGGGAAATATGGAGCAACCATTCTCAACATACCGGTCACAAACGCTGCTTTGGCAAGTAGTGCTGACGCTCTCAGTGTGTCTGCTTGGCCTACATAAACAATAAACAGATCATCAAAACAACCACTCGAGTTGTATATTTTCAAAAACACTAAATTCATCAGGGAAATCTAACTAACTATAATTGGTTTATTAAACAAAAACGTGCATAATTTGTTTTTAATCTTTAATCACCCGAAACCAACAAGAAACCTGCTCACGTTCACTCCCGCCGCAAGGCGGTCGAATCCACTCCTCCTCACGAGGGTCGAATACCTCCAGACGTCACACACTCACCCTGAGGTACTGTCAGCTGCAACATAAGCAAACTGATCGAATTGAACATCGGATTTCCTGGAAAAATTGTGCCTGCCCCTTCATCGACACCAGTTTTTTTTCCCCCAACAAAATGCAAAATTTTTGGGCCTTACAGAAGCGCAATCCAAATTCACGCGGGTACACCTCTGGAAGCTAATTGAATGGGGAACTTTTTAGGGAATTTGCAAACCTCCAGGAGTTGGTAGTTATTAACAGTTACCAATCCATAATTTTTTCCAGAAAATTCCAAATTTCATCATTTTTGTTTCTTCTGAATTTTTTGTGAAATTTTTCGTAAATAATTTTTCTTGCAGTAAATTTAACATTATTATGAGGTGGTACAAACCAGATTTTTCTAGTCAGTAATTCTGAAGTTTATAAGCAATTTTGTGGTCTTAAGTCGAAAAAACCCCAAAACCTGAAATTACTTCTTTACCGTTGAGATTTGGGTTTATAGGAAGTTTTTTTGCTTTATATGGTGAGTAGAAACACTTGAAATTTTCGACACTTATCGCCAATCATCCTGCATATATGACCGGGAATAGTTTAAAAATGACGGTTAGATTACCTTAATATCTAAATTTTCAGCTTGAAAGTACATACTAGTTTCTATTCATATGAATTAAAACAATTGTTGAAAAACCAACGTACGCTTGATTACCGTAAGAACCAACCTAACAAAAAACTGAACGAAAGTTATCGATTACCGACTTGTAACATTTACAAATAAACCCGTATTTGTTGCGTTCCGGGTTGATGGAATGTGGAAAGGAGTGTTTTAGAGTCGTGTGCAACAAGTGACTGACCCTACCGTTCTGTTTTCCTGAGTGTGTACCAATGTGTGCAAAACATCATGACCCCCATTTGCCGCCCGGTTGTTGTGTTTTTGTTGAATGTTTTGATCCCGATAGACAAGAAATTTCAAAT